TTCAGTATTTTCCCTGTCACAGGATACAAAGTAAGCATATATGGAACATAGGAATTATCCTGCAGTGTTTCAGCATTTAAAAATTCTGGTGTTCTAAAGGATCTTGGCATTTCTGAGAGGAACTAACCAGAGCATAATTTTATTTCAGCTGAACTCTAGCATTTGTGAAGGATGATCTGCTAAATAAAGGTAATTTCTCTTTTCAGATTTGTAGCCAAACAAATCACTTCTTACCCAGTGTCATTAGCAATGCTATTAAAAAAAAAAAAAAAAATAGAAAGCAAGCACTCTTATTTCTAATAGCACTTGCTCAGACATTATTCCCTAATATTTTCTGTTTATTTTTTCTGCTTTTAATGTGCTGGTTATTTATTCCTTGCAATAAAAGTATGTTGCAGCACTACTGAAAAGATACTTGGAGTCTCATGTTTTTTGAAAACAGATTATTATCAACTACTTATTAGTCACATCTGAGTGATTAATACTAAAGTGTGTGCTCCTGAGCTCTGTCTGGGCAGCAAAAAGGCCATTCCAAGAGTCTGTGTGTGGTGGGCATTCTCTGTGGATCATGAGAAGTTCAGGCCCCATACAGCAGAGTGGAGGTGGAAGAGTGTAAATTCTTGCAATAGCCTTCAGCCTGGTCCGTTTTTCACACCACAGACCTCTTAAAGAATTTCCTTGAAACTCCCTCAGGTGCAATGAATGCTCCCTGACAAAACCTGAATGGGGGTCAGGCTGCTGGAGTGCTCTGTCTGCTGCTGTATCCCCTTTTAGGGATGTTTGCTCTGCACAAATGCATTGTGCATCCACAATTTCTTGTGCAGCTGTGCCTGGAGGAGAACTGGGTGCTTTTAAAACAGCAGATATTTTCTAATCCTGGTGTAGATAGGCAGTGCTGAATTTTAGTACATAATAACTAGGTAATATTAATGGTAATCCATGTGGAGGACTTCCACTCAGAATCCAGCTCTGTAAAATTCACCACAAGATTGCCCCGTTCAAGTTCTGCCATAAATCAGCATCTGTTCATTAGTGTTTGCGAAACATTGTGCCTTTTGTCATAAAACTTGGCTCAAGTTAATCTGCAGTGCCACTAGATATATATATTTGTATAAATCTAATCTGGCTAAGACTTGTGTTGTTCTTTGCTTGAACACACATCTCCCAGCCTTGCAGCAGAGGTTTGGCCAGAATTAGTCTGAAGCCAAGCTCCGAGAGACTCTCAGGGCCTGGCAACCCTTGGAAACAAGGGTTTAAAAAATGGTTTGTATGAAGCCCCAGGAAGAGAAACTGTAATATTTCACCTTTTTTTTACCATGTTGCTAGGATGGAACTGAAACTAGAATCTTTGGATCCAATTGTCCCTAACCTCAGAGAAGGTCAGAGTCATTAAAAATGTGGTACATTGCTCCAAACCAAAACCTGACCACTAATAGCTGTTTTTGACAAAGCAATTCTCTCAAAAAATGCTGTTTTGTTGGACTTTAGATATTTTGCAAGAGAGTTTTGATTTCAAGGAAAATTTTAAAGGAGAAAGAAAGCAAGCACATTATTTGAATCATGTCAGACTTGGTTTGAATTTTTTCCACATATTTACATTTCATTATTTCATGATTCATTACATTAGTCTTTCATAATTTTTATACCTTAACAGAGTTACAGTGACATATTCTGAAATTATCAATATACTTGGCTTACTTAAAACTTTGACCTTACCACTACTATAATAAAGGGAAAATATATATGCGAATCTCAGAAAAATGAGGTAAAGACATTTTTAACACAGGCCTGAAAATCAGTTTACTTATGTGGAGCACAACACAGGCAGGGAACTTTGTGCTGATGTCACATGGGATTAAGCTGCACATTTCATTAAATTCATTACTAACATTCACAGGAGGGCCTGGGCAGGTTCATACCTCACCTGGGGAATTGCCTGGGATTTACTTCTCAGCTTGTCACTTTCCAACTGCTTTGTCACACAATACCTGGAGAAGAGACAGACTCAGTGTAACCCATTGTTGCCTTCCAGTGCCTGAAGGGAGCCCACAAGAAAGATGGAGAGAGACTTGACAAGGGATGTAGTGCAGGACCAGGGGGAATGGCTTCATACTGACAGAGAGCAGGGTTAGATGGGATATCACGAAGAAATTCTCCCCTGTGAGGACAGTGAGGCCCTGGCACAGGGTACCCAGAGAAGCTGTGCCTGCCCCATCTCTGGAAGCGTCCAAGGCCAGGTTGGAGAGGGCTTGGAGCAACCTGGGATAGTGGAAGGTGTCCCTACCCATGGCAAGAGGGTGGAAATGGAAATGGGTGAGCTTTGAGGTCCCTTCCAACCCAACCATTCCATAATTCTGCAACTAAATAGATCCTTTCTGGTCTTTACATATTCTGAGTGATAGTACCATATATTCCATAAAAGGTAAATGTAGTTCCAAAAATCAAGACATGTCTGTTACTTCATAGGGAAAAAGTGTATGCTTTTGTTTCTGTTTGGCAAAAAAAAGAGTTAATGCCTGATGGTGAATCCTTTGTGCTGGGAAGCTCCTGGATTGTGCCATTCTCACTGCTGGCCCAGGTGGGAAACTTCAGGGACTGTTTCTGATTATAAGAAGGATCATGAAAAAGATCATTTTGCTCCAGCGTGGCAGGTCCATTTATATCTCTTTTACTGAAAGGCCTGCAAAAACATTCATATTCTCACAGGAAACAGGCCCCCTAACTTTTTGTCTTCCAGGAGGAAATGTGAGGAGTCGGATGAAAGGAGTTTCTAAATAACATGAAGTGCTGGTCTGGTGCTGGTCTGGTGCTGGCCACAGACCCCCCTGTATCAGTGGCAGCCTCTTGGTCCCTCTTTGCAGAGCACATGGAAAATCAGTCACTGGTTTGCAGGTAAGACTTGGGCATTTCCTTCTTGCAAAATATCTGTGAATTAAAATTTCAGCACTAATTTACATTTCCCACTGAAAAGTCAAAGTGAAATTAAGGGGAAGCTGGCAGAAGATGGTGAAATTTAATAGAAGTTTTCTGTTTTTAAAGGAAATTGCCTAAAGTAGCCATTTATTTACTTGTTTTAATCACTTTATCTTTCATTAAAAAGAAAGTTTCCTTGCAGCTATTTTTGCCCTTAAAATTTATTTAGGAAAAGAGGAGGAGGAAAGAATACTTTTCATCTCCTTGTTAAGTGCTTCCCCAGATTATTCAAAGTCTTCCAGGTTTCTCTTCTTGGAGATATGGGAAGAGTAGGAGTGAGAAAAGCAATCAGAAATCAACATTTTTGCATGCAAATCTTACAGAACAAAACAGATCTGAAAATGATACTAATTCATACTACAGGAAGTAATGCCAAAATACAGGCATGTCTGTCAAAATTTTGAGTGTGTTCCAAATCAAGTGACACCTTGGGATATTTGGAAAGCTGAAACAAATATTTTAAAAAATACACTGTCAATAGCACTTGTGGTAATGTAGATAAATGTCTAAAAGCTTCCCTGTGCAGTCCACTGAGTGCAAGCTATCAGGTATTTTAAAATATAGTTAAGGTTTTAAGTGCTGATTATCACAGAGATGAAAATATCAAACTCCAAAACTAAATAAAACAACACAAGAGTGCCAAGAGCTGCTTTTCAGGATAGAGGCTTGAAGAATTACCCACTTACCCTCTTTCTAACAGTTTAATTCTCATATTTCCCACAACAGACATTTATTTGGAATCCTCCCAGTTATAGTTCCAATAATATAATATATATTGAATAAAATAATGCCTTGGCCTTGCTATTAGATCAACAGGGGTTAACCTGCTCTGGGCTTTTTTATCTTCCAGTGAGCTGTGTAAGGAACAAAATATTACACCTGTCAGTTCATTTCCAAACTGGGAGCCTAGTTATGCAAAAACAAACATCACCTGTAATGACTGAATAATTAAGATGAGTTTGAGGCTCTCCCCACTCCACTTAACTGATCTACACTTCATATGGAAAGGAAGAAATTCCTTGATCTCAATCTTGAAAAGTAAAAACACTGTGTAAAATATTCTTATATATTGAACACACAATTTTTATTGCAAACCATACTTCTGCCTAAGTCTCTCAACCTCACTGTACAGCACACTGGGTTTAAATCAACTAGTTTATTGTAATATTTTAAAGCTTTTCTGTATGAAAAGCATAACGTGGGAAGCGGGGATCAGACTTAGTCCTATTAAGAAAAAAATGTGGGAGTTTCAGGTTTCAGACCAGGTACTTGAAAAATCATCTCCCTGTGTGTCAGCTGTGTTTTCTTTCTGACAGGTCTTTTCCTAACAGAAAACCTTGTATGGACTGCTCAATATTTTTAAACTTATTATGGGAGAACATGATCATAGCTTGAGTGGAGGTTCCAGCCCTCCCCGGTCATAGAGTGTCCATCTGGTTCTAGATCTTTGCAAATAAAATTTTTTTATTCTTGCAATCAAAATAGTGTAGGAAGGGGAACAGATCTCCACCTCAGTTCATGTGTTAGCATGAGAAGGCAAATTTCTGCAGTCACCAGATAACTCAAAGTGTTCAGATCCTAGACAGAGGTGCTTCTCTGTACTGAGTGTAGCAGTGTTCCTGAACAAAGAGAGGTGGAACAAGGTGCTGAGCTTGCTGTTATTCACCAAATCTCAAGGTTGTCTGCGTGCCTTGGTCTGAGGACAAGAGACACAAAGAGGGGACCACAGAAACAAGTTCTCTGAATGACTAAAAACAGCCTGTCCCTTTTGTGTCTCAAAACCCACCTCCAAATAATTATTTAGAGAACAGCAATAATAACTCTTACAATCTTCTGTAGCTCATTAAACGTCTGCTTTCTTTCAGCAGCTGCCCAAAGAGCACCATGGGCATTGTCTGGAGGAGACCCTGCCCTGGCTCATGCCCCTGGCAGACCTGGCAGCATCCTGAGTTTTCCAGGGACGGTCTCTGCAGTGCTGCTGCAGCCCTGGAGCAGAGGGCGGCTCCCTGAGGCCCTGCCACGGGGCCATGGCTCTGCTGCTGGCAGCGGCACAAGTGCTGCTGCTGCTGGGTCTGCCTGGGGACTCCCAGTGCCTCTGCTCGCCCACTGCCTTCTACAAGAACTGCTGGATCCGGCGCTTCCCGGGGCTCCTGGTGGACGTGCGGGAGTCGCGGCGGAGGGGAGCGCAGCTGCTGAAGGGCTATGCGGAAATCTCCCCCCAGCAGTGCAGCAGGACCTGCTGCCTTCTGAGCAATGGTGAGTGCTTGTTGGCAGGATCGTGGCACACACTGAACCCCCCATTTTGGGTAATGTTTATATAAACAGTGCTTCACTTGAAGAAGAAATAGAGGGGGTGGAAGGAGGATCTATAATTTTTTTTTTTTTCAGGCAGGAAAGCAGAGCCACATTGCAACTGTTGTCCCACAGAAAGGAAATTGATAGTCTGTATTTTTTCAGAAGACTACACTAAGAACACACTAAAATCTTAGGGTCTGCTTTGCAATTTTAGATCTCTGTTACAAAGCTTGTAGGCAATAGCAACATTAAGAGAGTAACTCTTCAGACTTCATCCCCATCTGTATTATAGAGAACAACCAGTGACAGTAATTCCAACAGCATTCTCTTCCTGCAGAATGGCAGCAGACTAGGACATGGTGAGAGGGAGAGTGGAGGGGACACACAGTTTGTCCTTCTCTGAAATACAAGAGTATTCTTTTCCTTGAGGAAAGCGCTCTCTTATTCCGTGTTTATACCATGCAAACCAGCTAACACTAAATTATAACAATAAATAATATCAGTTTTCAGCTGGCCACCCCTTTTCTCTAGCCTGGTAAACTCAGGCTCAGAGTAAAAACAAACAAAATCATTCTTTGTCCTAAGCTTTGTACTTTCTCTGTATCACATTGCACTTGTACTCTACAGGAGTGTATTTTAGAAGGATACATGAATTGCATGTCTGTGGTGCCTAAATTTTCAAAACTCTCCAGACTGGAAAGGGGTTGGGATAAGGTTTTGGAGGATGAAAGTGAGGTACCAGTTACTAAAAAAAGTCAATATAAATTTAGATTATATTTTGAATTATGAGCAAAAATATGACCTTCACAACCTGACAGTGACATAAATAACTTCCAGCACCAATCTTCGGAGGAGTCAAATTCTATCTTAAATAATGTGAAGTGAGAAAAATTACATACATTTCAGCAAGATTGTTTCTATCTCGACAAGAAATTTTTTCTCATCTCCCTCGACATGGGACTGGATACTTACAGTGATAATAAATGGTAACTTGAAATCTCCTTTTTACAATCATATATAGTCAAACAAAATTTGTTACTATCTTAACTAAAACAGAGGCATTAGAGGGCATTTCAAAGGACTTTAAATCAGTTATTATTTAATGAGATACAAAAGTAGAACTCATATGGCTGTTCTAGTCCAGATGTAAAATAAGAATTTAAGTTCTCTTTTGACTGTATGCTCAATTAATTTATATGATAAGAAGAGAACCACAGGATCTGGTCTCTCCTCCCACAGGATCTGGGCAAGTATAATGAACTTCTGATGTTAAATAACATCATAACATGTTATGATGCTATTTATTATGTTATTGCAAAATGCAATGGTCATTCTGCTGAGAAGCTCAGCTTTGTTCTTTATGGCTTCCAGTCTCCTGCAATCTAGCAGTGTTCTACCATGGAGCCATTCATGAGAACAGGAACTGCCTGCACATGTCTTGCCCAGCTTTGGAAAGCTGCATTCTAAAGGCCGGAGTTGATGTCATTTTGTACAACATCACAACAGGTAATTAGACATTTCATTTATAAAAGCTGAAAACAGAGCAGCTATAGGAAAAGTTAAAATGATACCTGGTCAGCTGCTGTGCTAAATGATCTCCTGAAGTAACACACAATGCTAAAAAAGATGAAGACTTACTTCCTTTTTCATTTATATAGCTGTTTCTGAAAATACTTCCCCCCTTTCTTCCACTCAGTGAGAAAGGAGCTTGAAGATTCATGCTCTCAAGATTCATGCTCTGAGTACCTCATCAGTACTGTGCTTGGCCAAAATACCCTCCCAGCTCTGAGAGACTGAGAGAGGAGGCTGCCACCGCTCCGTGTCCCCAGACCCAAGCAGTAACAAGGCTGAACATTTATTTTCATTAGGCAAATGCACCTTGAGCACACAGGTAACACGGACAAACACATAAAGCAAGCACACCAACACAGGGGGCACCTTTGCTCATCCTGCTTTTTGTGTTAGTGGAAATACATAAATATGTCTCTATATACACACACATATATACAATGCAAAGTTCCCCAGCAGCTGGGCTGAGATGCTCTCTGGGTGCCCAGTCTGGACCCCAGACTCAACAGTTGCTGCCACTGGGATGTTTGAGCCCCCAGGATGCAGCCTCCCTCCAGCTGCTCGTGCAGACTGTCACACGCACAGAGCTTTCCTGGATTTCCCTACCCTCACTACCCTTTCCTCACCTTTGGTTCCTTCCCTAAGCATCCCATAGTAAGTCATGTGCAATCCCAAAATGCACATCCCTTGCATCCCATGAGGTGTCCTATAACCTGAGGCAGTGACACCTCCAATCCAAAAGGGCATTATTTGGGCTCCCTGCCCTGCCTCTGTCTCCATGGATCCTTTTTGTGGGTGTGCAGACAAGCTGTTAGCAATAAACTAACATTATCCTAATTCAATAGGGATTGATCCAGATCTTCTCATTTTTGAGAAACTGAAATCCCAAGAGCCAAATGTTTACTCCTCAGCAAGTAAATCTGAGAGGCAGCACAGCACAAAGACCTCTGATGGGAGAAGATGCCAACATCCCAATGCAACCACGTCATGTTCTCCTCTGCTCCGAGCTCCACCTGCTGCCACGAGCCATGGCTTACCAGCAAGCACTCCCACCCCCAGCTGGAGTCTGACAGTGCAGAGAAATGAAGGTACTGCCTATTCCAGGGCAGAAACTTCCCCAGCAGCCATTGCTTTTGATAAGAGGACAAGCAGCAGGTCAGTCACCAGCTCAGACAAGACTGCACACTCAGCTTTGAGCCCCAAGCCTGCCCAGGTGTTATCCCACATGCCCACCCCTCCTCGCCTGAACAGCAGCAAGCAACACCTCAATGAAACCAAAGGCTACAGTGGCAGGAATTCCACGTCAGATAATGAGGCAGCTGCCTGGGAAGCTGCAGCTTTGGGGGTCTGGCTGATTCCTGTTGTCCTTTGCTCCTCTCTGCTCTGCCTGTGCTGTTGCACTGTTGCCCTCACAGCCGGGCACTGCGGCTGCAGGAGAGGTCACTATAAACCCGTAAGGACAACAACCATGTCCAGACAGCTCATAAAATATGCTCCTGTCAGAGGTAATCTGTGAAACACCATCCTGGCTCTGGAACAAACAGGATTTTAAAAATGCACCCCATACACCAGCTCACATCTCTCACAGAAGCAGTGATAGCTTAGTTCAGAATATTTTGGTTATGATTTAATTCTTAGCAGATGAAGCACAACTCCCTGTCTCTTTAGGTAGGAAACACCCACTCACAGCTCCCACTGTTGGAACCATTATGGTTCGCATTCTGATGCAGATTAATGCCTGACAAATACTTAATACTTTCCCCCAGGTTCAGTGCAGCTGCAGTGTTGGCATGTCTGTGTGGCAGAGAATTATTTAACTGGATGAGAAATCCTGCCATAGTTATTTTTGTACTTGTCTATTTGCTACCGAATGAATAAACATCCCATGTAATGCAGGAATACACAAATGACTTATGAAATTGTCTTTTTGTTTGAAAAGGTCAAAATGATCATGTTTACTGCCAAAGAAAGGCTAAACCTAAACTCAGAGAAACACTTGGTAAAGAACGAGGTCTGTACTTTTGCATGCCTTTCTTCAGTCTGAATCAGCCATTAAAATTCTGCTTGTGTTCACTTTGTAGTCTTGAGTGCTGCCAAGAAGGCAATTCAAACTTCAAGACCTTGCAGCACTCCATTCCAAATATAATTTCTCCAGAAAATCTGGGGATATACATGCAATTATTATTGCTACATAACTGTATGTAGTTTTTAGGATACAGAATTTACACGCAGGTAGCTTCATCTAATTTAGATTAGAAAAATTATCTTTTCTTGACCTAAGCATGGCCCTGTAGTTTCAGCTGCATAATGTGTTTCAGTTTTCTTAGCCTAGGGTTTTGCCAAGCATTGCTGGTACTCTGTTATCTTCAATTGCAGAGGCATACACAGTTCATGCTAGAATTAGTTGTTTAATACTTGGGATTTTTATTGGAATACCAACTTGTTTTTTGTTTCTGAAGACAGGAGAGTGCACAAGGTCTCCTCCCTATTTCACAAAGTAAGATTTGCAGTTTGAGGCATCACTATGGTAAAACAATGCCCCTCACTCATTAATTTATAATGCTGCAAAGAATGCATTTTTTAATCTAAGTCATGATTTAATCATGCATCAAGGACAGGGGAAGATGTTTAAATCCATAATATATATATTTATGTTCTATTGCTGAACTTGCAGCCACAAAAGCCTGTCTAAGGAACTTAGCTCTTACAGTATCAGTGTGGAAACAAACTGTGAATGTGGGCCATCACCTTTCTACTCTGTACTGTTAAGATATTACTGTTCTCAGACGAAAACTGACAGGTTTTTCAGGCATCACTATGCCTGAAAACAGGGGAAAAAATGCCCACTCTTAGGAATGTTTATATGGGGGATAAAAGGAAAGTTCCCAGAGGTGTGCACAGAGGGATGCACACCTCAGTCATTCACATTGTAATGTACGTGACACATTAATAAGTGACCAGTGCTAAAGATGTGTTTATTATTGTGCTGCAGAGCTGCTGTAACCTGTAAGTCTGTTAGTCTCTAACTCTTCAGTTTTTAAACTTCAGCAAGGCTTCCAGAGAGATGGATGATGCAAAAATATGGTACAGTAAAATACAGATGTGTAGTTTACTTCTTAAAAATATATGCTTTATTTTATATCTTTGAGGTTAGGAAGGCTCCCCCAGGGGTTAAGATCCCAGTGTTCCAGGTATTCTGCACAGTCACAGAGAAATACTGTCACCTTCAAACGCAAACAGTTTAGAGGGAGAAGCAGAAAAGCAGAGAGGAACATCCAAGAGCTCAAAATAGCATCCAAATTGCCTTTTGTCCTGCCCACTGCATTACACAAGTTCTGTACTGTAACATAGAAACCCTCAGTAAAAATCACAAGTGTAAGTTTGAGTTTTATCCCAACACTGCTCTTGGTCAGCAGGCATCATCTGTTTTTGGGAGAGACACTTGGTGCTCAAGAGACAGTCACCTTAAATCCTGCCTGTATTACTTAAAACATTTATAGGATGTACATAAGTTAAGTTTGAACACTTCAGAGAGAGCTGGAGAAGCCTATGCATTTTAGGTTTTCCATCAATTAGCTGTGAAGCTAATGACAAAGTCAGCTTCCCTTGCTGTGCTGTTCTTTCTACCAGACATTATTATTCATAAGGTCAAATTGTTGTTTCAGCCATGACTTCCAGAGTTCTGCTTAGGTCCATTCTGTGAAAAGCAAAGGAAAACTGGGATGTCCTCCGCTGCAGAGGATTTTCTCAGGTGCTCACATGTCCTGAGTACAGAAGGACAGCTTTGTGAGAAAAGCAAACTTAAGGGATTTGGGGTTTCTTAAGGCATTTCAGGGCCTTGCTCCTGCCAGCCCTGTACACACCACTGGCTCCCCAGGCTGGCTCCTAGGGCAGCCCTTGTGCAGGCACTGACAAAGCTAATTAAGGAAACAGATTTCTCCTGTGCACGTACTAGAACCAAACTGCCTCTGGAACGGAGCCAGGCACAACTTCAGGCACCACTCTCTTGAGTCAAACTGCACTTACTTCCTCAGTTGTTTTGGTTTCATGGCTCTACAGAGAAGATTTGGAATTACACAGATGTTCCCATTTCAAATGGGAATTTTAAACATTACCCTCATGGTCCCTGGATAAAGGAGCAACCTGATAACAGCTGAAACTTTCCCCATATCAAGCTTCTGCTAAAATTTTACATTAATACACATCCAAAAGGAAGGACTACTAAAGAACCAGGTCAGTCAGTGCAAAATTGGGATTACAGAACAAACATTTTCAGTCTTAGTACAGCTCTGGCAAATTCTCATAGGAATTAAAATGCTGCATTAAACTCAAGTCTCTCACCATATGAAAACAATCCTGACCTAAGAAGAATCCTTCCTAAACTGACAGTGTTTTGGCAGTGGGAACAGATGCACTCCTTGGCTATGTACACACAGAGCACACAGTGAGGAATCCTAGCAGGGAGTGAATCCAGCACACAGAACACTGCAGGAATCAATGCCCCTCAGCTTTCAATGTCTTTATTCTTACACTGTTTCTCCTCAATGAGCTGCTGGCATGGGCAGCTCTTTTATAGGTGTGCAGAATCCTTAACTCCCTCTGCCGCTTCTAGAGAATGACTTTCTCTCTAAGTTGAAATCTTACTAAGCCACGAAGGTAGAATAAAAGCGAGATTTATTTATGTCCTTTCAAGGTTTGGTAGGGTTGGTTTTTTTTTTCCTTAATCATGAGAAGGCAATAAAATTGTGACTCCAGAGTTTTAAATCAATTTCTTTCAATTACAAATTATGAATCTAAATCAAATCTAAAATAATCATCCATATAATCCTTTCTCTGTGCTACATAGGATGCTACAAACTTTGTTCTTTCCTTGAAAAGACTGGGTACATTCAAGAGAGAAGGCCTGAGGGTAACAAGGCTCAGTCCATTCCTATTTAGTTACAAACTCACCTCACCAACTCTTATAATTTTTCTTGTCCCAGGTACTCTGGGATGTTCTCAACAACTGCCGGTTCACCTTCCCACTACCATTCCATTTTCCACCTTATTTTAGAGACAGGTGCTTTTACATGGGATATTTGTTTGCCCTCACAATAACTAAGAAATTCAACTTGGTCCAGAGTGCTTCAACACCTCTCCAAATCAGACTATTAGGCAACATTATCCTCATTTTATACATAGGCAAAAATTTGAATGGCATTTGAAAAGCATTTAAAGCTCCTAATTTTCAGACTTTTAATTAGTGGAAGTATTAACTAATTTCATTAGTTTTGACATTGTTGCTCTAGGTTAAATGCCCAAAGAAATGTGAGAAATCACAATGTGATTAAGCAGAGGACTGACCATGCTAACAGAACACAGAATAAAACATTCAAGTTACCAGTATGAATCCAAACATACTTTATTCAAAGGACAAGATTCATGGACAGGACTTAACTCATAGTCAAGTTTCAGTTTTTGGCTCAAGTTCTGAATAATTATACATCCATATCATTAGAAATACTAACACAGTAGTTGAACATCCCTGTATTGATCAGGTGTACCTGCAGATCTGCTCTTCTCATGCTTGTATATTCAGTAATTTCTTCACAGATTCCTTGTACTGAGCCATGTTACTTTCTGTTTCACCTTCATTTTTAAGCGCAATGACTGAGTTTCTGTAATTCTTAACCACTTCAGATGCCAGCAGCTCCTCCTTAGTGACATTACTGACATTCTCTGAGGCTTTTATTCGAAGCAGTGTGTGCAAGGCATTTTTCTGAGAGCGACTGTTTTCCCAGATATACTCTTCCATGTCTTCCTCAGACTTCTCACTCTCCCACTTCTCAGTTTTCTGAAAGAAAATGGACAACCTTTTCTGGACTGAAACAAAGCAACAATAATTTGAAGAAATTGATCTCTCATAGCGTTTCCCTTTAAAAACTGCATTCATGGTGGAAGGTATTTCCTCCTCTAGAGTGCAAGGCTTGTAACTCAAGCCTGTATGAGCAGGATGAACTCGTTTCTCCCACTCATCAGGTTCTTTCTGTATCTGGCAGATACAACTGAGTCAGAGTGGGAGAAAAAGCTTATGGACTGTACATAATGAATAACTAAAAACCTTGCAAAAGTAGTAATTTTAAAGAGCCCTCACCACTGCAGTTCTGGAAGCAGCCACCCAGCTATTGTGTCCCTAGCAGAGGGTTCTGGTCTGGCTACACTGGCTGGTGGGAAAGTGAGACAGTGCCTAACGAGTAACCCATGATGTGATTCACAAAGAAAAGCACCACCAACAAATACATTTCTTCTTCCTGCAAAATACATTGCTCAACAGAATCTCTATCCACAAGGTGCTGATCTTTATTTAATCAGTGCTGCAAAGTTTGACAGAATAAGTAGGGCACTGACAGAAGATACCATCCCAGTACCTGTAAATACACTTCTTCTGTATCAATTCTGTCTTTCAACATCTCTCCAGCAGGCCTTTAAAGAATTTTAAGGAATATTTCAAATGTTGTGTAACCTGCTATTTTTTAC